TATTTGCAGTGGAATGTGTGAATTTAAGCTGTTTCATATTCATGGACACTACTTAGCTATGATTGTGACGCTATTTCCATATTCATAACCCCCTCCCCCCGCCTCCAGATAGGGAGAGAGGAGGTCTATTCATCTGGTGATTGGAGCATGAATCAATGATGTTTCTCTTGGGTTTGAGAAAGGTAGTTATGTATGTAGAATATAAGCCATTGTTCTTTTCATAAAATAAGTATCTTGTAAAGAAAAGCGAAGTTTTATAAGCAAACATTTTTGTGTAAAAATGTCCTGAAGTGAGAAAAATAATCAAAAATGTGCAAAGTCATGTAATCTTGCCAAGTAGGAAGGGAGCTTAATTTTTTGTTCTTGCATATAAGAAAGAAAAACGTGAGGATTTAAATCCCTGCTTTGTTGTCTACATCAGACTGCAAACCCTTGGGCAGGAGTTATCTTTGTGTGTTTTTCCTAGTGCTTTGCATGTTTGCTTTTAGGTGCTTCTCAAATAATACATATTTTTATTACCCCTAGAATAAATATAATAAAAACTTCAGTGATGTTTGTAAATGTATCAGGAAACACAAACCAAGAAATAAAAGTGAGCTAAAGGGCAACATCTTAACCATGGTGCTGACGTATCAGAACAATATGTGGATCTAGCAAGTGTGATGTACTTCATAGGTCCATGGATGGGAAGGTTGTCAATGATGCCTGTATGAGTTAAGATAGAGTCTTCTGTATTTCTGTAATTGTAATAGACTTTTGATCCTTTTGTTGTGCCGTGTAATTTTCATGACTTGTATTTTTAGCTAGTTCAGCATTTCTCAAACTGGGGGTTGTGAGGGGGGTGTCAGAGGGGTTGTCAAAGACCATAAGAAAGCACAGTATTTTCTGTTGGTCATGGGGGTTCTTTTTAAAATATATATATTTTATTATTTTATCATAGTTATACATTGATAAAATGTATAACATTTGTTATACATTGTTTTACAGCAGATACATATTATTCAATACAACCTAACATACTTTTGGCATCTAGTGTTATTTTTCTGCTTATACATATTTTCTGTCCCTCACCACTGTCCTCCCCTCCCTCCTCTCAAGCCATAGCTTTTACATGTCATCTGCCCAAAATTTCAATTCTTCTTGTGGAGGTAACTTTCCTTCTTTATTTTTAAATCCTTTTCCAATAAATTTTCTCCATACATCATCAAAATCACTTTGTTTCCATGTCATGGGGGTTCTGTGTGGGAAGTTTGGCCCAATTTGAATGTTTGTGGGGTTCAGAATGCCCTTTGATTGTAGGTGAACTATAAATCCCAGCAACTACAACTCCCAAATATCAAGGTCTATTTTCCTCAAGATCCACCACTGTTCACATTTGGGCATATTGAGTATTTGTGCCAAGTTTGGTCCAGCTCCATCATTGTTTGAGTCTACAATGCTTTCTGGATGTAGGTGAATTACAACTCCAAAACCCAAGGTCAATGCCCACCAAACCCTTCCAGTATTTTCTGTTGGTCAAGGACTTCTGTGTGACAAGTTTGGTTCATTCCATCATTGCTGGTGTTCAGAATGCTCTTTGATTGTAGGTTAACTATAAATCCCAGCAACTACAACACCCAAATGACAAAATCAATTGGGTATTTCTGTCAAATTTGGTCTAGTGAATGAAAATATCCTGCATATCAGATATTTATATTACGATTCATAACAGTAGCAAAATAACAGTTGTGAAGTAGCAACAGAAATAATTTTATGGTTGGGAGTCACCACAACATGAGGAACTGTTTTAAGGGGTAGCAGCATTAGGCAGGTTGAAAATCACCGAAGTAGTTTAATTTTTTTGGTGTAAGATGCCTTGAGTTCTACACTAGGAGAATGAGGACAATAATAATCAGCCCTCGATCATGTATTTTTAATTCCAGGTACTGCTGGGTTGCTTTCATCTGTACAATGGGATTTCAAATTTTGTTAATGAAGTAGGATGTGGGAGGGGCCTATAACCACCTCTTTCCTATTCTAGCTGCCTACCCTACTAGTATATTTTACTCTGAAAAAGTGGGTCATCAACCCTAACCCTTCCCTTTCTTCCCTTCGTCTGACAGAAATCTTTCTGCAGCTTGGTATTAACAGCCTAGTTTTTTTCATAAATGTCTTTCATTGTACAGAAAAGTTCAATAGCCAACACACAACCATTAGTCCTTTGCTTCTTGCAAATATAGGTCTATAACATGGTCAGTTAACTGATGAGTAAGAAAACGATTTGTGATGAAATGGCTGTGAATTGGACAACAGCTGTCACCACAGGCCCGTAGCCAGGATTTCGTTTTTTGGGGGGGGGGGGTGTGAATGGGTTTCAGGGGGGGCTGAGTTTCGGGGGGGGCTGAGTCTGAGTGAAAGAGGGTCTAGCCTAGCAAACCTTTTGTATCATTACCCCAATACCCCCATGCATATGGGATATATTGAGTATGGTGATCAGATCATGATATGAATAAACATAACAGTTTAAATAATGCACCAATAAGGCCTTTTCGCGAACCACCATGAAAATTTCGGGGGGGGGGGCTGAAGCCCCCCGAGCCCCCCCCCCCCCCCCCCCCCCGGCTACATGCCTGTGTCACCATATGCAATAGATTGACAATAAATAGAATAATTACCTAGTATCATCTCTGTACCACTCAAAATCAGGCGTAGGAACCGCAGAGGCTGCACATTTCAGTGAAACTGGCCGTCCTGTAGCAGATTCATTGCTCTTGTATTCCGTAATAGTTGGGGGGTCTATAGGAGAGAAATATTGGCTCACATTATTGTCTTCTACAAGCAGTTGAGATAAGCAAAGCCATTTCCTAGTAACATATTTACTTGAGTATAATGCACCATTGAATGTAATGTGCACCTCAATTTTGAAGGTGCATATTACAAAATATGAATTTACTCTCAAATGTAATGCACCCAACAGTGCAGTCATAGCATGTCAGGGAGGAAGGTAGTATGAATGAGGCCATTTGGGAAGTCATGACCCCCCATCAGGCCTCATCCACAATCCCTTCAAAATCAATGTAATATAGACAAGAAAGGGGATCATTAGACTCAAGTAAATATGGTAGTAATATGGTAGTTCATATCCAGGAATCAATATGAAATACAAAAGCTCATTCAATAGACTATATATAAGTTTGCAAGGAGAGAGAGAGAGAGAGAGAGAGAACCACTGATGTAAACTTAAAGAGAGAGGCTCAGCAGTTATGATCTCTTCAGATGGAATTAGAATATCAGGACCACTGGAGATATATATTTATGGGCAAGACTCCCCAAACTTACTTGCAGCCTGACAGAGCTCCAATGAAACAGCATCCGAGGTGTTGGAGATTAATTAGCTGGGAATTGACATCCATGGTATAATCCTAGACACTCCAGCTGCCTGTTTTCAGACCACTGGGACTGGGACAACGCTATGAACATAATTTCCCATTACCTCAAACTCCAGAAGCTTGGAAATGCTTCATCTGGGGTGTGGACAGGCTGCAAAGCCATGACCAAGTGGCCTTGTGAAAATTATGACAACAATGCAGGACTTCGGAAATACACAATATAAATATTTTGTGTGTTGATGTCCTCAGAGTGACCAAGTGTTATCAAAGTAAGCAAATTTGTTAGAAAATGCCACTGAGAGATTTCTAATAACAATGCAATCATTTCTTATTTTAGCATCTGTCTTCAGATAAACAGAAGATGTGTGGAAATTCTGCATCATAACTCCATGCATTTTTTCCACCGCAGGCACAGAATAGCCCAGACTGTGCATGAGTAGCACTATCCATGCTTTTGACAGATTATTTCCAATCACTTTCAAGGACCTTGTCAGATGTGCCGCTGAAATTGGAGAGAACTGCCGCATCCCAGCGGTGGTTGGGCAAGGGGCGTGGGGACCTGTCACTCCATGCCCCATTCCATTCTGAGTTCCCCCCTGCCTCATCATATGGGGGGAAGCCTTTTTTCGAATGCTCAACCCATCTTTCCTTATGGAAAGACAGGGAGCCTGCTGTTGTCTGATGTCACCATTTTTTTTTGGCGGCAGTAGCACTTTAGCCATGGAACCAACCCATGTTATCTGGGGTGTGATGGGAGCCATCGGGCTCTGTGGCTGAAGGAAAAAAAATACCGTTGCGCTTCTGAAAATAAGGTACATGTGACGAGTTCCTTAAGACAAGTGACATGCCGGCTGCAGAGTTCAGGGCATCTTCAATGAAAGTTCAGCTTATGTAAACTTTGGATAGTCTGTCAAAAGTATGTCTTAATGAAAGATGCCCAATATTGTGAGCAATGCGCAGGATAGGAGATAAACCAGTTCACCATGCTAGAAGAGAAGAACTAGTACAAGAATGTTATGTTTCCACTCATATGTCATAGATGTAAAATACCAGTAAAAATATTTTACATATATGGCATATGAGGGGAAACAATAATGTATATTTATTTCGAAAATTAGACCTTGTTGCAAAATAGGTGCACAAAACTGGAGCTGAGGATAAAGAAGGTGCTCAAAAATCTTGCTGTGTGATTTTTCACAATCAGTCATAAATCTCCTTGCAGTGGGACAAATGGTTTCCACTCCATTGGATCTAATGTGCAGTACAAGTCACAAAACGCTTTTCTATGGATTGAAGACTATACAATCAGGCCTAGAAATTTCTGCAGAGCAACAGACTCTCTCCCCCCTTCAGTTTCCCTCAGTATATCAGCCACATTCCATGAGAGCTTTAATCCCGATTGGCCCGTTATATTTAAGTAACTCCAGGCCAACTAATTTGTGATTCTAAAAAAAAAAAAAAAAAGGGGGGGAGGGGAGAAAGAAAGAAATAGTTCTTCATTGAAAAGATGTTGTAGTGAAAGCTACAAAAGCCCACCTGGGTCTAAAAGATGTCTGTATTTAGTTTTGATTATATAGATATATATCAACCTGTATTTCTGGATGTCCAGACAAGCCACTAAAATGTATTACCCATTCTTCTTTGCCTCTGAAGATGCTATGCTAGCCTTTTGTGTTTGTCTGGGGAAAAGGGCAAATACCTTTTGTTAAATCTCAGTTCCTTCTAATAGCGCTGCAGCTTACAAAACAACAAAGGTTGCTAATTTTGTATGTGCAACCTAAATGTAAAAAATTATAACTTTTTAAGCTATTGTAGAAACAAACTGATTTAAAGGGTTTTTTTACCCTATCCTCTCTACTTTCTGGTGTAATTATTGCTGTGCTACTGAATTATTTTGAACTGTAATACTGTTTCTGTATTTGTTGAAATGTATAGCAGAAGTAATATTTGCAAAAATGCATTAATCACTGTTTTCACATTTCCTTTCTCAAAAACATTCTTTTTGCTACGGCATATTAAATCGATTTCATTCATATTCTTTGCACTATGACTCCCATAGCTCTTTTTCAGAGTGGCAAATTGAGAATCAATGATTGTCATACTGTGAGTTTCAATGTCCTAAGTCTACTTTAGGCTATCCTAATGGCTTCATATTCCCATTTGTAGGTTCTGCACATTCACTGGAGATAGGAATGCAGGAAACCCTAGGAAAGTGAAAAATAAACCCATGAATTAAAAAAACAAAACACTTTTTATGTAAAAAAAATATTTCTGGGAATTTTTAGGTCTCCTAATATGACTGGTCTGGAGGCAGTTGGAAGATGTAAAAATTCCCAGAGAGCACATATTAATCAAATCTATGAATAATCAAATCCATAAAAGTCAAACTCATAAATGTGGAAGGCTGAGAGTATTGTTAGTAAACCATCTAGAGCAGTGGTTCTCAACCTGTGGGTCTCCAGATGTTTTGGCCTTCAACTCCCAGAAATCCAAACAGCTGGCAAACTGGCTGGGATTTCTGGGAGTTGTAGGCCAAAACACCTGGGGACCTACAGGTTGAGAACCACTGATCTCAAGTGATGGAGGTCTTTGGTCTTGCCAAGCAGGGCATCACTTAATGACATGATCGGTGTCCTACCAGTGAGCAACATTGTGGGGAGAAGAGGCAGGGACTTGAACACAGAGCTCTGTTGGTTTGGACAGCTGACTGGCTTCTAAGTTGGAGTTTATGGGTCAAATGAAAATTAAAGTGTAGCTATGTGATCATGGCTGCATATCTGATGCAAGGTCTCAGTCAACAATATTCTGAGATAAAGTGGAGAGACAGAGGAAAGGGAAGCATAACTAAAAAAGCCTAGTTAGCGGACCTTGGGGAAATTCAGAGGCTGGTCTCCTTGACCCAACAATTTTTGGAAGAGCCACAAGTCTCCCTCCATTGCTCTCAGTACTATTTGAACTTGGTTCAAAGTGGTGGTCCCAGAGTGAGTATCAACTCCTAGCCATTGGTCAGCTCCCAGGAATGAAGAAAAAGTAACCAAAAATACAGCTAAAAATAGTACAGTTCCCTGATTGGGAAAAAGTACTGGTCCCACATGGTATGAGATGCAATTGTTATAACAGCTGTCACACAAAACATTATAGTTGTTCACAAAACAGATGAAGATTAAATAATCATATGAGGGACTTGACCAGACCCATTCTTGCCAATGAGAAACTTACTGTAGGTAAAATTAAAGGAATTATCTCTAATGTCTTTCCCACAGATGGCAGATTATTCACATCCCGAGTTTTGCTTCAGTCTGTCACAAAAAGCCAGCTATATGCTATATCTACAATCTGTGGTGTTATGTTTAGTGTTGCACTTTTCAAAATCACCAGCCCCTTTAAGTAAAATGTGCAATGACATCTTGAAACAAACAAAAGCTATTAGTGAGACTAAAAATGTGTGTATTTTGAGTCTATTTTAACATAAACCTCTCCATTTCAATCCTTATTGAAACTTCAATTAGACACTAAGGAATATGTTCTAAGCTAGTATATTTTGGGCCTCATTATCTGCCCTAAAATTGCAAATAAGTAGCTACACTTTACAATATTTATTGAAATCCCACTAGCACTGGACCATCATTAGCAAAAATGAATAGTTGTTGTATGGACTTCCTGAGCACCCACTGTGCTGTGTTCTTGAGATATGCTGCCCCTTAGTGATCTCCTCAAATTGTAGGGTTTTTAATGTATGATAATCAGCTCTCTCTCCCTGTGCCCCAATATTTTCATGAAATCTATATCTCAAAATTTCTTTTTGACACTTCTACCTGAATTTTACACCATTAATTTTACACACATTGAAGACTGAATTTATTACTCATCCTATTCAGGTACAAAGAGGCGTCTTGCCAAGTTGATATTCTTTCTTCTATCTATTCTGCAAAATGTAGCCCTTCTTCTTTGCTTTCTTCTCAGGATAAATTTTGGTTCAGAGAAAAGTCTAGCATGACCCTTGAACTAGGAAGAACTTTCTGACTGTAAGAGCTGTTCAGCAGTGGAACTCTCTGACTTGGAGTGTGGTGGAAGCTCTTTCCTTGGAGGTTTTTAAATAGAAGCTGGATGGCCATTTGTAAGGTGTAATTTAATTGTGCTTTTCCCACATGGCGGGGGGGGGGGGGGGGGGGGGTGGTGGACTAGATGCACCATGTGGTCTCTCCCAACTCTATGATTCTATGATTCAATGAATCTGCAGGGGAAACTATCCCAGATATTTTGGCCCCAAAATACCATAGAGTTGTGCTGGATAACCTAAAATGCCTAAAGAGGACATATTTTATTAAACATGGATAAATGAAATTGCTGATACAAATCCTGTGGATCCTGTATCCTGTGGAGGAAGCAGGTTTATATCATTGGGGGGGGGGTTATACCATGGGGGGGGGGTAATCTCCCACCTTGACCACAGTACCTTTCTGGCTTAGCATTATCACAGCTTAGCTGCTTCACTGCTACCTAGAACTCAGATACCAAAATCAGTGATGCATTTCAACAGTCACAGTCAGTCAGCTCTGTTTACTGACATCTCATCTCCATTCATTTAGTTTCATGTCCATGACAAATTCTTTGGTCTCATCTTCCAAAACACTCTCCTTTCATTTCCTGATAAATCCTTGGAATAAACTGTGCCTCTCCGGCAATGTCCTGAGAAGCATGAAATTCTTCCTACTGTCTCAAATGATCTTACGCTTTCTTCCATTGCTCTGAATGAGAAAGTTAATATGGTTTTGCATGGGCTAAATTAAAAAATAGCTATCGAAGGATGTGCCTTTGATTCCACAGCTGTTACTCTAGTGAAACTGGTGGACACAGCAAAGATTACACCCAGAATATCAGATTACCCCCAACACATATTAAGGGCTTTCCTTGGAAAGAAGGAAAAAGGACTGCTTTTTTTATATGGAAGGAGCTTGCACAAGGCCAATATGGGTGCCTGGCCTAGAAAGCTAACCCATGCATTGTTGAATAGCAACTTTTAGTATATGATATTAGAGTGAACATATGCAGAGCCACAAGGCCCCCATTCTGTTCAGCTTCTGCTCTGTTAGTATAAGATAAAAGATAAGTATACATTTTATTGGATCCTTGGCACACCAAGACTTGTCTCCTAATTTCTCTTCAAGTTCCTGGGGAACACCCCCCCCCCTTTCATTTCCTAGACCTAGATCTTTTTTTAGAAACATCTGTACATGCTCATCCTTCAAAGAAAATCACTGACATATGTACTCTTATATTCAGGCTCAAATATTCCATCTCTGAGCCCTATGGAAATGAAACTGGAGTATATGAAAGTATACATGTTGTTCTTCATACAAAGTGTTCTCTCTTTTACCTTCTCTTGGCTATTAGATTGTAAAATGAATTGTAAGACTGGCTCTCTCTTTCTTATTGCTCTGTAAATGTTTTTACAGCCTATATGAGGATCACTGTTGTAGTAATTATCGTATAGTAATAGCTGCAAAGTAAGTAGGGCAAGTAAAGTAGTAGATATATTACCACAGGTCCTGGAGATTTATGTATGGAGTAGGACTGACTTATTCTCCCATTTTGAACATTGAGATTTTTAGTATTTCCTCCCACCTGGAAACCTATGGTAGGAATTATTTATACCACCTCAATGATAGTACAGGAACTCCAAGAGAAATTAGAAGACAAGTCTTGGTGTGTCAACGATCCAATAAAAATGTCTTTTTATCTTATACTGACAGACCAGAAGTCGAACAGAATGGATTTTAGTATTTCCTCCCACCTGGAAACCTATGTTAGGAATTATTTATACCACCTCAGTGCTAATACAGGAGGATGTAGAGTGCTAGAGTCTAGCACCTCCACAATAAACAAACATTATTGGATTTAGGGAATCAAGGTTGACTTTTCTGGAAGATATGCATCTTATGTGCACCTATTATGTATTATATCATGTACAGTGTGTACATTTGCTGTACATGCACACTTTAGCAGCAAACCTCATATTGATATATAGGGTAGAGATCCTAGAAGGGGTCTAAATATTCTACAGGTACAAGATCCTTCGTGATCTTGTTGGCTTAGAATGGTTGGTTCTTGTTAGTACTTGGATGGGAGACCACTTGGATGGGAGATCATTTCAGAAGAAGGAAGTGGCAAAACCACCTCGAAGTATCCCTTGCCCAAGAAAACTCTTTAAAGTTCATGAGGTCACCATAAATTTGTAGGTGACTTGAAAGATCACACACATGCACAAACATCTGTACCCAACGTATTTCTCACTCATCCCTGTGTGTACATAATATGCATGCAGGAGTTTATGCAAAGACAGAAAATATAATTGTCTCGACATAAATATTGCCTTGTGACAAGTCCCCCAAGATGTGGGGAAATCTTTTATAACAAGTTATTCTGTTCCTGAAATTATATTATTATTGTTATGAAACCAGTATTTTGAATCTTAGAACTCCCTGCTGTTTTTAGTTCTCCCACAGTGGAAAAGAGAATACAGGATGGGTTTTTAAATAATGGCTTCATTAGACTGAGGCTATTTAATAAAAGGGGGCACTTCACCTCTGAAAAGATGGCAAACAAAAGCCATTAGGAGAAAATAAAAAACAAAATGTGGCACACATTTGCATACGAATATGGTCACTCAGAAGACAGCAATTACAACACTTCACATTTACTTATTTCCTTTTTGCATTTGTTTCCTTTCTCTTTGAATGTCACAGAATAAGTCTTTTCCTATATGAGTGCTTTAATTAAAATTATCCAGATGCAATGCAAGGGTCTGTAGGAGGGCTACAATGATTTACAATGCAATCCTGTATGAAATTACCGAGCTTTAAATCTTACAACTGTGTTGTAAGAGTGCATATAATTGCAGCACTACTAGTGAATAACTGAAATGTTCACATATAGGCAGAAATCAGGACTGTATTAATGGCATGCAGTAATAGTAACAGCTATGAACCTCACCCACTTTAATGGGCCTCCTACTGCAAGGATGGACAGAACATAAATAGGGGTCGAGTGGTAGATTTATGAATTATCTTAAGTAGATCAGCCAGGCTCTCTAACTATCATTTGCTTAAGAAGAGTAACAACAAAAAGACTCTGCCCCATGCCCATTCTAGATAAATTAAAGGAAGCAGTTGGGTTTTTTCATGTCAGAAGTGACTTGAGAAACTGCAAGTCACTTCTAGTGTGAGAAAATAAGCTGTCTGCAAGGACGTGGCCCAGGGGATGTCCAGATGTTTTGATATTTTACCATCCTTGTGGGAGGCTTTTCTCATGTCCTTGCATGAGGAGCTGGAGCTGCCAGGGGGAACTCATCCGTGCTCTCCCCAAATTCGAACCTATGATCTGTTGGTCTTCAGTCCTGCTGGCACAAGGGTTTAACCCACTGTGCCACAAGGCTGTTGGGTGGAATGGAAAGACTAAAGATCAATTCTCAGTATGTACGGCAGTGCTTGAATAATGCCACATTGCCATTACTTGATGCACCACTGAAAAAAGCAACTCATTATTTTCTTTGTTGCACTGCTTGTTGGTTTTCCATTAATATCTGTCCAGTTACTGAGGCAAAGATAAATTTAGGATTGATAGAAAAAATAGCAAAAAAAAAAAACCCTCATATGACTGACTGTGTATTCTTGCTCGTTGTTTATTTTAAAATTTAACTTTTTGCACCTTTGTTGTACCAATTAAAGTAAAGGCATTATTTATGATTTGTCACTGGCAAGGTCCAGGACAGACTGCAAGATGCATTTAGTTCTTGTATTTAAAAATCTATCCATTCTGGGTCCTGTGGACCCCAAACAAAGCATATTTCACAAGCTTGGCAACTGCTCTGTGTTGTCATACTAGTATGGTAAAGAATATGATTAGGTATTGTAAATAAAATAAAAGGGATTCATCTTCATTAATGCCCTGCAGTGGTGGTGGTTGTGGGGGACATCTTGGCTCATGGAAGGTGTAAATTCTGAGGCCCATTCATGCTAAACCAATACAGCACCTTGATTCTGCTTTATTTGCCATCCTATGGAATCCTGGGGTTTGTAATTTCATGAGGCACCAGAGCATGTTCCCAAAGTTTGGACCTCTGAGAGTTTTGGACTTCACTTATTTTTATTTATTTATTTACTTTATTTGTATACCGCTCTTCTCAACCCTTAGGCGACTCAGGGCTTCCTGACTTCCTCACTGCTAGCTAAGCTGGCTTCTGTAAGTTGAAGTTGAAAACATCCAAAGGACCAAAGTTATGTTTTTTATTGTTTTATTGCTTTTATATGGTTCATATTATACGTAATGTTTTTAACTGTATTTTATGTTGTTTGGGGGCATTGACTGCCAACTGTAAACTGCCTCAGGTCACCTCTGGGCTGAGAGGGGTGGTATATAAATATGGCAAATAAATAAATAAATAAACAAACACTGTGTTAGAGCTCTCTGGTGGACAATTGTAAGGTTCCATGGGATATTGCCATGGGAGTTAATATGTTATAATTGTTTGGAGTGACTGAAACCCAGCTTGGAATGGCCTTGAATCTCCATGATCCCAAATCCAAGCAAGAAAATTCTATAATGGGAAAAAGAAGGAGAAAAACCATGTGTTTTCTGTTTTGAAGTGGTGGCTGAGTCCCAACCTTAGAGCTAAGAATTTATCTGCAAATGTGCAATTACACCCCCCTCCTCTCTCCCTCCCTCTCTTTCTCTCTCTCTCACACACCTATGACATGCTCGGAACTATAAATTGTGAGTTTCCTTCCTCCTAGCAATTAGAGATCTCATTATAATGTAAGGAAATGCTATATTAAAAAGGTAAATGCAAAAAGAAGTAAGTGTATACATTTTCATTTTATGAGGGAAACTAACGAGGCATACACCAAGCTAGTTCATGGCTCTGCAGAGATTTCAAACTACATCAACCAGCTCTAAGTCTTCTCTTTTTCCCCAGACCACACTGACATTTTATGGTTCACCCAAAGCAATTCCATGAGGAGTAGGATAATTTTATCAGTCAGATATGACAGGCTTCCCAACTTATTGCTTACATACTACGGTTATATATTTTTTCTGCACCCTAATCTGTCAATAATAAATGTACTCACAGTTCACAGTGACTCGGACTTGCTTGACATCTGCCGTGGAAACTTCATTTGCAGCTTTGCACTCATATTTGCCTGACTGCTCTCGCGTTATCCCCAGGATCTCCAGGAATTCTTCCTCACCTTCAAATTCCCTGCCTGTGAGGAGACAAAACCACAATTCAGTTAGTTCAGAGAACATTGAACGTAGTAGCACCTTGTGTATGAGAAGGAGAGCATTAATTTGAGATGTTTTGTGGAAACGTTTGGGCCCAATAATTGAAATGTTTTCATGCAAATAAGCAAAATATTGCTTTGTTTCATCTCTTCAGGCAAAAGATACAGTCCTGGTTCATTTTCTGTCATCCCACTTTTTCAGCTGCTTAAATGTTTCAGTTTCTCAGTCTTCTTCTCACTTTCCTATTTTGTCCTCAGATTATTTCAATTGAATTCAAAGTACAGACATAGTTCTTACTCAATAAACTTAGCAGGGGAAAGCAGTGGAGAGCAAGGGCAAAATCTTGCCCTTCCTAGTAGTCTTAGGTAAAAGACTACTTTAAAGCTCTAGAGTCTAGGCAGTTCGGGTCCAGTTTATTTGGCTGACTGCATCCCTTTGTATGCAGTCTGGCCTTGAGATTTTCAAGAGAGGCCCTTCTCTCGGTCCCACCTCCATCTCAAGGTCGGTTGATGAGAATGAAAGAGAGGGCCTTTTCAGTGGCTGCTCCTTGACTCGGTAACTCCCTGCCCAGGGAAGCCAACATAGCCCTCTCCCTGTTGTCCCTTCTGGTGGCAGGCTAAAACCTTTTTATTCAAGCAGGCTTTTAAAGATGAAGGTTTTTAAGATCAAGTCAGGAGGTGCTGTGGTTTTAACTTGAAAATGAATTGAATGTGTTGAATGGTTTTTAACTGTGAATTTATTTATATTTAATTCAGTTTTATTTTTTTTGTAAATTTGTATATTTTAAATTGTGTACTAATGCTTTTATGTTGAGCCACCTTGAGTCCCCTTCAGGAGAGAGAAACAAGGGTATAAATAAATATAATAATAATTGGTGAGATCACAAGCCTAAAAAAGTTAGAGAAAATGAACACGTCAAACTACTCTAGGACTTCTGAATTCAGACTGACAGAGTTTTGTAGCACAATACTCCTGACTTCATGATAGTGGAAAAAAACAAAGTATGGATTGTCAATGCTGCAATCCCAGGCAACAGCAGGATTGATGAGAAGCAACTGGAAAAGCTTCCACAAGACGAGGATATAAAGATCAAACTGCAAAGACTCTGGCACAAGTCAGTAAAGGTGTTCCCAGTGGTGATTGGCACACTGGATGCAATGCCTAAAGACATTGGCCAGCACTTAAAAACAATAAGAGCTGACAAAATCACCATCTGTCAGCTGCAAACGGTCACCCTACTTGGATCTGCACACAATATTCACTGATACATCACATAGTCCTAGACACTTGGGAAGTGTCCGAAATGTGATCCAGTACAAAAGCCAGCATAGTGCTCTTGTTTGCTGTGTACTAATCCTGTTTTGTATCTAATAATAATAATAATAATAATAATAATAATAATAATATTTATTTATTTATTTATTTACTGCACTTCTAGACCGCCGTTCTCAGCCCTAGGGCGACTCACGGCGGTGTACAACATGTAAAAACAGGTACAAATTACAACATAAGCAATATCACAACAACACTAAACAACATCACTATCAATAATACAATTACACTAAATCATTCGCAACGTCTCATTGTTGAATCACAATCCGAATCCATGTTTCGTTCCGATCGTCAATTGCCAATTGTTGCAGCACTTACTCAAACGCCTTCTCAAGCAACCACGTCTTTAGTCTCTTGCGGAATGTCATAAGGGAGGGCGCCAGTCTGATGTTCCACAGCCGGGGGGCCACCACCGAGAAGGCCCTGTCCCTCGTCCCCGCCAGGCGTGCCTGTGAGGCAGGCGGGATCAAGAGAAGGGCCTCCCCGGACGATCTCAAAGTCCTCGTGGGCTCATAGGCCGAGATGCGGTCAGACAGGTATTTTGGGCTGGAACCATTTAGGGCTTTGTAGGCCAACACCAGCACCTTGAATTGGGCCCGGTAGCAGATCGGCAGCCAGTGGAGCTGGTACAACAAGGGCGTTGTATGCTCCCTGCGTCCCGCTCCTGTTAGTAACATGGCTGCCGCGCGCTGGACTAGCTGGAGCTTCCGGGCCGTCTTCAAGGGCAGCCCCACGTAGAGAGCGTTGCAGTAGTCAAGGCGGGATGTGACCAGAGCGTGTACTACCGTGGCCAAGTCAGACTTCCCGAGGTACGGGTGCAGCTGGCGCACGAGCCTGAGCTGTGCAAATGCTCCCCTGGTCACCGCTGAGACCTGGGGATCCAGGCTCAACGATGAATCCAGGATCACACCCAAGCTGCGAACCTGCGCCTTCAAGGGGAGTGCGACCCCATCCAGCACAGGCTGTAACCCTATACCCTGTTCGGCCTTGCGACTGACCAGGAGTACCTCTGTCTTGTCTGGATGTAATTTCAATTTGTTTGCCCTCATCCAGACCGTTACAGTGGCCAGGCACCAGTTCAGGACCTTGACAGCCTCCTTAGTAGCAGGTGGAAAGGAGTGACAGAGTTGGACATCATCTGCGTACAGATGACACCGCACCCCGAAACTCCGGATGATCTCACCCAGCGGCTTCATGTAGATATTAAACAGCATGGGGGACAGTATAGAGCCCTGTGGAACCCCACAAGTCAAAGGCTGTGGCGTTGAACAGGTGTCCCCCAATAACACCTTCTGGGTGCGGCCCTCCAGAAATGACCGGAGCCACTGTAGAACAGTGCCCCCGAGGCCCATTTCCGCAAGACGCCCCAGAAGGATACCGTGGTCGACGGTATCGAAGGCCGCTGAGAGGTCCAGGAGCACCAACAGGGACACACTCCCCCTGTCTAGCTCCCGGCAGATCATCCACTAAGGCGACCAAGACCGTCTCAGTTCCGTGTCCCGGTCTGAAACCAGACTGTGCCGAATCCAGATAATCCGTGTCTCTCAAGAATACCTGGAGTTGTGAGGCCACCACGCTTTCCATGACTTTGCCCAAAAAGGGGAGATTGGAAACTGGCCGAAAGTTGTCAAATCTAGTGGGGTCCAGTGATGGTTTTTTTCAACAGCGGTTTTATAATAGCTTGTTTTAAGCACGCTGGAATCTCGCCTTCCCGAAGGGAGGCGTTAACCACCACCGTTACCCACTCAGCCAATCCCCCTCTGGCCTCCTTCAGAAGCCAGGATGGGCAGGGGTCTAGGATGGACGTAGTGGGCCTCATTCCTCCAAGTATCTTGTCCACATCCTCGGGCTTCACAGATTGAAAAGAATCCATCAAAATATGACAAGCAGGTGCTCGTGTCACATCCTCAGAGACTGCATTTAATATGGTGTCCAGACCAGAACGGATCAAAGCGACTTTGTCTGCAAAGAACCGAGCAAATGCTTCGCAGCGCGTGGCCGAATTGTCAGGGCTCCCGCCTGAGGTGGCGGGAGTTAAAAGACCTCTGACAATCCGGAACAACTCCGCCGGACGGTTCCTTGCAGACGCAATAGTGGCCGCAAAGAAAGTTTTCTTTGCGGCTTTTATTGCCGCGGCATATGCCCTTAAAAAGGACACAAACCGTGTTCGATTTGACTCGCTTGGATCCGAACGCCACACGCTCTCTAGTTCCCTCTTCCTTTGCTTCATCACTGCCAACTCCTCAGTAAACCAAGGAGCTGGTTTAGCTCAGCTACTTGAGAGGGGACGTTCCGGAGCGATCGTGTCAATTGCCCTGGCCATCTCTCCATTCCAGAGAGCGACCAAGGCATCGACAGGGTCACCTACCGAGGTGGCGGGAAAATCCCCAAGAGCCGTCAGGAATCCATCCGGATCCATAAGCCTCCTGGGGCGGACCAACTTAATGGGTCCTCCACCTTTGCAGAGGTTGGGGGGCGCAGTGAGCCTAAATCTGACCAGGAAGTGGTCGGTCCATGGCAACGGAGAGATGGTCAACTCCTCCACACCGCCACCTTGCTCCCATCCCTGGCAGAAAACCAAGTCCAATGTATGTCCAGCACAGTGGGTGGGGCCAGATATTTGTTGGGACAGCCCCATGGTTGCCATGGCGGACATGAAGTCCTGAGCCGCTCCTGTGAGGGTCGCCTCGGCATGGATGTTGAAGTCTCCCAGCACAAGAAGCCGTTGAGACTCCAACGCCAGGCTCGAGACCACCCCCGCTAGCTCAGGTAGGGAGACTGTAGTGCAGCGAGGTGGACGGTACACTAACAGAATCCCTATTCTGTCCCGGTCACCCACCCTCAGGTGGACGCATTCAAAATTTGTTGACTGCGGGATGGGACTCCTGGTCAGATGGATGGAATCTCTATAGACCACTGCGACCCCGCCTCCCCGCCCTCCGGATCTCGGTTGATGCTGCACAGAGAAGCCTGGAGGACAAAGCTGAGTTAGATTCACACCTCCAGCTTCATCCAACCAGGTCTCTGTGATGCACGCCAGATCTGGCGTTCAACAGCACCACCTTCAATCCGGAGGGACCGCCAACCTGGTTACACCAATTTACCATAGGAGACCGGTTTGGAATTATTAATGTAGATATGCGATCCGAATTAGGAATAATAATAATAATAATAATAATAATAATAATAATAATAATAATAATAGGAAACTATTGCAAGCTCTCCTAGCTTGTGCGTTCTTCCTCATTAATAACTTTGACTAACTTGATGACACTCAGATGTTGCTTGGTCACATGTGCCCTGGTTTTCATCTGTGAAGTTTTGGAGAGTATTGGCTATAGGACAACTTTGGAACTTGGACTCATAGTACATTTATTTCATGACTTGTTCTCTGGTTTTCTTTACAGAAAGTCCATTATCAAAACAATTAGGGTATTTGTATTCATTTATACATATCCAGGATGAATGGGTTTATAGGGCATAGAATCAAAGAGTGAAATAAAGAATGCTGTAGATTTTACACATCCAAGTGTCTGACAGGATCTTTTCATCTCTTGTACACATGGAACAAAAATAATATAGTACACACAGTGGGAAGGTATGCCTTGTGTTCCAAGAACATGGAACAATCAGTGATCTATCAGTACTC